ATTTTAACTTTAACCATACATTTCATGAGATTCACAACTATTACTCACTTATCCACCAAGCATTTCTATCATATTAGTTTCAACAACTTATTTTGAAACCCAAACAAGCATTTAATTTGTAGTTGTTGTAAACCGAATGAGCATTGTTGCTATGAACTAATGAATAATGAAGTCAGACCGGCATCCTTTGAGAAAGGTCTAAAATAATAACCCTTTCATTTTTATCTTATCATCTTTGTCAAATTATGAACTCCTCAATCAAACAATTTTGTAGAAGAAAATTATGAAGTGATTCAAATAAATCTCACTTGAAATAGAACTTGAGAGCTAAAATCCCTTCAGTGACACCATGTGGATTATTAATTGTATTCCTAGATGGGGTAATTAGCACAAAACGTCCCTACCTTTCGATGTTTTTGTAGAAAATGCCCACATCTTTCGTTTTTTGGTGGATTACACCCTCACCTTTACCTTTTTTTGCGCAAAGCATCCTTCTGTCAACTCCTCGTTAAAATGCTCCGTTAAATCAAAGGGTAATTAGCATAAAAGGTCCCTACCTTTCAATATTATCGTGCAAAACATCCATACCTTTCATTTTTTGGCATAATTAGCACAAAAAGTCCCTACCTTTCAATGTTATTATGTAAAACGTCCTTACCCTACCTTTCAATGTTATTATGTAAAACGTCCTTACCTTTCATTTTTTAACATTTTCACCCCTACCTTTCACCTTTCATTTCGCAAAAGGTTATTTTCATACATTTTTCAATAAAATGACGAATTTACCCTTCTATTCAAATAAAACAAAAAGAACAGATGAATTACCAACCATAGTCCTTAAATTTTTAAAAAATTACAAAGAAATCATAAATTCTCAACCACCACCACTTTCACAACCTATTAAGCTGCCAACTATAAATCCACATAACACCACCTTTCGGCCACCATGCCCACCGGAATCCACCACCGTAAATGTGGTTGTTTCGGACACATTGGTGACCAATACTATGGGGAATGATATTGGGGATAGTGAGGCAAGGCTGGTAGTAGTGGAGTTCGATACGTGTTGTGGCCGAAAGGTGGTGCTATATGGATCTATAGGTGGTGGCTTGGTAGGGTGGTGAAAGTGGTGGTAGTAGAGAATTTAGGATTTATCTGTAATGTTTTGAAAGATTTAGGACTATGATTGCAATTAATTAATTATTTTTCTTTTCTTTTCTTTTTGTTTTATTTGAATAGGAGGGTAAAATCGTCGTTTTATTGAAAAAATGGATGAAAATGACTTTTGCGCAATGAAAGGTGAAAAGTAGGGTTGAAAATGCTAAAAAAGTAAGGTAGGGACGTTTTGCACAATAACATTGAAAGGTAGGGACATTTTGTGCTAATTATGCCAAAAAATGAAAAATAGGGACATTTTGCACAATAATATTGAAAGGTAGGGACCTTTTGTGCTAATTATTTAACGGAGCACTTTAACGCAGAATTGACAGAATGACATTTTGCGCAAAAAAAGGTAAAGGTGAGGGTGTAATCTGCCAAAAAACGAAAGGTAGAGACGTTTTGTGCTAATTATCCTACTAGATGTCATCAACATTTATCTAACAATAGTATCATATAATATCTATAATTCTAAAAGTACCAAGCAATGGATAGTTCATTGATAATAGTGTTGTTCCAAGCAACGGATAGTTCATTGATAATAGTGTTGTTAGCATGTAAAATAGTTTCAAAGCAAGTGAATCGTGGCCAGTAAATAAGTTGTGCGAACAGTGCTCTATGCCAAACATAGAAGAGTCAAAACAAACTACCATATGAACTAGATTTGTCAGTTTGGTATACTCTTACATACTATTCATCACAGGAAATATTTAGAAGCAGCTAAAACAACGGACAAGAATTAATTAGTAAATTAAAACTAGCAAAATGCAAAATAAATAGTGATACCAAGAAAATGAAGCAATGAATAGCAACGAGGAAAAGCACACAAAAGATAGTCACCTGCCACTGGAAGCTGCCTCTTCCAACTCTTCGTGTGATGAAGGGAAAAGTTCTATATAGCGATACTTCAGGGTCATCCTATCCTTAGACATAGCAGCTTTCGAATCTTCAGCACTTGCAAACTCCACAAATGCTTCTCCAGTTGGCCTTCCCTCTGAATTGACTATCATACGAATTTTGGATTCAGAAAGCACGAAATCCCTAAAAAAATCCATAATGTCCTCCTTGCTGGCAGTGTACGGCAACCCCCTCAATCGCAGGATCCCAGTATACTCTGCCAGGTCCTTGCTATCATCAAAAGACCCAGCCTTTGGAACACCACGATGAAACAAACCACCCTGAGAATCATAAACTTCATTTGCTATGGCCTTATAATAGTCATCCTTTCTGCTTTGAAAAACCTCAACGTATCTCCTGCCAATAGTTTCCCTATTCCTCTTCAGGGCGAAATCTATTTGAAGAGGATAACCCAAAACGCAATAAGCTTCCCCAGTGGACTTGGCCCCCTTGTGGACAAACAGGACGTCGACTACATCTAAATCATGGAAGAAATCAACAATTTCAGCCTCTGTGCAATCAAACGGGAGGCCTCAAAGGCGAACCACAGGGAAGGGCAGTGGAACGCAAGAATACGCAGGAGGCAGTGGAGGTGGAGCATTGTACAAAATACTTGGACCGGGAGGATTTCCATAATATGAAGACCCCTGATCCATCAACCGCTGCCGTTTGAAACCCATTTCGCGTGCATATCCGCCATCCACGAATTTACTTTATTGTCATACAAATACATAGTTATTCACCAGATCAGTACTATATTCATAATAAACCATTGACAAACAACAAATAGACTACTTTCATTTCCAGCTCAACCATTGTTTTGTAAATGAGACTCTTAGCCTATAATGAGAAATTTGGGTAAAATTTATTTTGGTTAGTAGTTTATGAGAGAATATGGGGTTAAAAAAGAAGGACAAGTTGTTTATTTACGTGTAATATTAATATTATTTTATTGAAGAATGTGTGGTTGAAAATAAGAGTGGAAAAAATGTATTAAATTTTTAAAGGGATCGAACAATTGCTTAATCATTATTTTCAAATAAAAACAAAAATCAGAAAAAATAAGCATCCCGGTACTAAGGAAAACATAATTTATATTAAAAAACCCAGTCTAAAACAACCTAAATCTTGATAAACATCTAATAATTTGGATGATAGCTATATTTATAAATATTTGAACAACCAGCTATCTAAGAACGCAACAAAACTAGAAAATAAAACATGATAACGCCTATTTGGCAGCATGAAATTAGGTTTCCAAAATTTGATTTCTGCAAAACAAAAAAAAAAAAAATTAAAAATGCAAACAAATTGAAAACCTGGGTATTGAAAAAAATTAAACCCTGCATTAGACCCACGAAAAAGAAAAAACATGCACAGGTGTTTTCGAGCCACATTCAAGCATAATCAAACTACAGTTTTGAAATAGTAAATCTTCGCATTGTAATTCTGAACCCAGAATATCTGATCGGAGAAAATTAGAAATAACGGATATAACTATCCAATAAAACTCAGATTGGAATTATTAACTGAATTCTGAACACAAATTGTGGGAAAATTATACGGAAAACATAGGTTTTTCAAATGCTTACCCTCTATAGAACATCTCTTGCGTTTTCTAATCAAGTGCTATGTTGATTCTTGCTAAATCTAGTTGGGTGAAAGTTGAAACTGTGCGTTTTGCCTGGAGAGGGAAAAACGAACAAGCCCTAAACATAATTTTTAGCCCTTGTTTGTTTGAGACCATTTTGGGAAAAAATGCATTTGAAGAGTGTATTAATATAAAATATATTTTTAAAAAATAAGAAATTTTTTTAGATATATATTAATCTATTTTAAAGGTTGAACCCTAATTTTAAGGGTCCTCATCGTCCCATCCCTAGAGTATCGTGAGAGAAGTTAATCGCGGGATGTGCTCCAGCAGGTCAGGGAATAAGAGCTGTCTGTACACTGGTACTCACAAAGAATCCCAATTTATATTTCAGGAATCGAATTCTCATACTGCAGCTACCAACAAGGCTGGGTATACACCACTCTTATTCTTTGCACGGTATCTTGAGAGACAACCATTCATATAAAACTTGATAACATTATTTAAGTCGGATTTCAGTAAATTTTGATAAAAGTTAATGAAATGTATGGTTGAAAAGTTATAGATTCCATGAAATATGTGATTAAAATTTATTATTAACTTTGACTTAGAAATTTTAATCCATACCAAATAGGGACTAAATCTAGAGAACGAAACCAATCGTATATATCATTTCATTTTTGATTTCTCTTTATTTTTTGATCGTCCAAGTCAACATGACGATAGCAAGCCTACAAATTAGGACTTCAATAATTTTAAGAATGCCGAGCTAGAAGCCACATGCTCCAAAAATGATCCTACAAAGGTTAATATGCAGTCCCGATCATCAAAGAACTCTCGAATGACACATTTAGCACTTATTTGGACTTTTTTTTTGAATTCTTTTTCAACTACGCACCTCACATAAAGTAATTTTACAAATAAATTCAAAATTTTCCTTATTTTTAAACTATACATTCTTCAAAATATTAATATTTCAAAAGAATAATGTTAATTGTACAATCCATGATTGCCATCTTGGTGTACATTCTATTGAAATTTAAAAAGTGTTGGATCAAAAAGCTTTTTTAAATTATTTAATCATGTGTTGGTACAATATACAAATGAAATGAAAAAGAATGGATATGTAGCATGATTTTGTTTCAAAGTACATTTCCCATAGCTCTACACTATTCTCACACGTGGTCAAAGAGCCACCAAATTGGAAGAACCATCCAGTACTCCACCCTTCAGCGCATGTGTTTACAATATTCTCTGCTTAAAAGTTCAAATCTGTGTTGTTGGACAAATCCAGACCTCACAAATTATTCTGGTCACAGTTTAACAAACCCACAAAAGTGCAATTTTCCTCTTTAACATTTTCCACTAAACACGTTTCCATTTCCAAATTTGAACATTCTTTTGCTCATAACACACACGTCTCTTTGAATTTCAAACGTTTAAAATTAAAAAAGCTCCTGTTTTCTTGGACAACCCATCTTGTGTTCTTGGTTTTTCTTTAGTGGGTTGTCCCTAATTTTCCTTTAAAATAGATTTTTAGGCTGAATTTGGTGTTACAACAAGAATGGTGGGGGCTTTTCCTGTTGTGGGCTCGTCAGTGGTTGATTCGAACACATGTTCATGCCTTTGTTTGGATGTGATGCCTTTGAGCAATTTGAGTAGGGTGGAATCGGTTTTGCCTAGGAATTCAATGGGTCGAAAGCATAGGCCTCGTCCAGGTTCACTGGATTTGAGCAGCTCATTTCTTGATTTTTCATCAGTGAAAGCTATTACACGCACCAAAAATTTGAAAAAACATAGGAAAATGAGGAGGGTGATTGTTGATGAATTGGCTGGACAGTATGAAGATAATTTTGGAGATGTCATTTTCTTTAGTGGGTTGTCCCTAATTTTCCTTTAAAATAGATTTTTAGGCTGAATTTGGTGTTACAACAAGAATGGTGGGGGCTTTTCCTGTTGTGGGCTCGTCAGTGGTTGATTCGAACACATGTTCATGCCTTTGTTTGGATGTGATGCCTTTGAGCAATTTGAGTAGGGTGGAATCGGTTTTGCCTAGGAATTCAATGGGTCGAAAGCATAGGCCTCGTCCAGGTTCACTGGATTTGAGCAGCTCATTTCTTGATTTTTCATCAGTGAAAGCTATTACACGCACCAAAAATTTGAAAAAACATAGGAAAATGAGGAGGGTGATTGTTGATGAATTGGCTGGACAGTATGAAGATAATTTTGGAGATGTCACATCTGTAAGAAATTTTACAATAATCTTTCATATTTTTATGTTCTTGTTGCAAATTTGTCAAATTTTTATTTGTTTCGTATTACATGATTTGAACTTGTATGATAAAATGGTAGAACATGCCGTTAGGTGGTTGGGTTATAAAATTTAACTCGTTGTACAGTTGCTCTAGATTGGACTAATGATGAACCAATTGGGGAATGGACACATATTTGGCCCCGAGAGCCACCCAGATTTTGTGAAGATGGGAGGGCATTTCTTACTGTGGGTTTGGTAAAAACGCGCATGTATGTATAAATGATAGCATGTATGTATAAATGATGCGTAGGGGCATCTCCAATGGTGATGTAAAATTGAATGTAAATTGGTATCTCCAAAATTATTTTTACATCCTCATTTACTGATTTACTGTTGATAGATCTAAATTTAAATTTTGCTTCAATGGAAAGATCTAAATTCAAATTTTTGCTCAAATTTACATTTTTTTGCCAAAAAATGCAATTTGCATTTCCTTACATCTATGCATTTGAGAGGTTTTCATCACTTTGAAGATATAAATTCTATTTTACACCACAATTGGAGATGCTTTAAACCTCTAACTTCGACAAAGAGTGAACCTGCGTGTATTCTTACATGTATTTATATCATGTAAACCTGTGACTTTGATGTGTGAACCCTTCACTTAAATTTTACACACATCAGGATTCCTCAATGATGACTTGATTTTGATGTTCCGGAGTTACTATTGTCATTTCACCAATACTTCAATGCACGTTTGATATGTTGGATGGGGTTGTGGAAGGGAGAAAAGCTAAAATCTCTACATCCCTGAAGGGTATCTATATGTAAAGTATATGTAACTGCAAATTTGGGAGATAGGGAGCATATATTCAAGAAATGGAGAATAACACCTAATTTAGGAGGAGCTAGTATCTATATTGTTAGTGATTATGACTTCCATTTGATTTAAAATAAGATGGCCTTGAGATCATTAACCCCCTGTTTGATAACCCTTATTTTAAAACTCTTTATTTTGCATAATCATTTTCAAATGCACATTCACACTATAAAATATTGTGCATGTAAATCTAAATTTTTTTCCTTACTTTTTAACCACATTCTCCAAAAATTCTCTATTCCAAACAAAGTGTTTCCCAAACAATGGCAATCAAACCAGGGCTAAGTCGAATTCCCTCAGGCGTTCCATCTGGTTCCTGCCCAGAGGCAACTCTGCTATTAATTGAGCAATCAACTATAATGTGTTTCATAGATTGACGAAAATTGTTCTTGCAGCAAATTCTAGACTATTTCACGTACAAAGCCGTGAGGACGGTCTTAAACCAGCTTTATGAGATGAACCCTACACAATACCGATGGTTTTATGAGTGAGTACAAATTTTTATTTTTGCAAATTAGTTTAGCTGTTGGTTACCCTATCAGGCTTTTTAATGTTACCCTTCCGATCTTGTAGTTATGTTGCAACAAATGAGCACGGTTATGGAAAGCGCTTCCTTCGTAACCTTGGAAAGGTAAAGAAAGTTTAAGGCTTACATTAACAAAACAACCCCCCCCCCCTCCCAGCCTCAAAAATTACTTGAAATTCCTTAACTTTCACAGGAGAAGCACGAGCTTGCTGAAAGAGTAATGGTTACGCGCCTTCACCTGTATGGAAAATGGATAAAGGTACGAGAGCGCCAAAACATTATCTTTGTCGAGTTGATGTGGAAACCAGGACTTTAACACTAATCAGTTTTACAAGTATTTTTTCCTTCAGAAATGTGATCACGCTGCAATGTACAAAACTATCTCGGATCAGAATTTGGAGTTGATGCGAGAACGCCTCATCGAGACTGTGATATGGCCGTCCGATGACACAAACACCGAGGTTGTTAGCTGAATTTCTCTCTGTTTATGTTGTTCTTGTAGCCTAAGGAGATATTATCAAGTGTCATGTTTTCAAAAGCACTGCATTCTTCTGTTGTTGATCAAATATTGTATAGAAACCCAACCCATAGGTAGACTAGCATTAGAAATTTTAGAAAATTAAAATTTTAATTTTAGATACCGATATTTAGTCTAGCCGTGCCTTGTCAAACACCAGGAATGCTGTGATGGCTTTTAAAGTTTAATCAGGTAAGATTTGTGAAATGAGAATGCACAGTAGATGAAGGATACGTGGTTATATGAATGGCTATATCTACTGCCAATTAATTTATAAGAAAAAATCGAAAATAAAATTGGGTTTAGTAAAATACTGCACATCAAGAAGTTATTCACATTAATATTTCATACGAATTTGCATACCATGTTCTTATAACTTGTAAGCCCCAAAAGAAATCAAATATCTTCCAAGAAAGTGTATACTGATACCTCCTACTTGCGTCAGTTTTGTCAGTTAAATGTTGAATTTCATCCTCAAACATCGATGTCTGTCCAAGATTCATGCTTGCTCGTAGTTGAAAGAGAGATAAAGACACAAACAAAACAATTAAGCTAAAAAAATTCAAAAATTAAGTAGCATCTATTTGAGTTATTCGTTACTGACCTGACATTTGAGCTAACATTGGATGGCATCATGCATCTGATTGTACTAATGTAAATCAAAACCCAGTTAGTGAACTAGCAGATTTCCAAGGATGTAAGCAGTTTTCTCATCCAAGTCGAGTCCTCGATCAAATCCTTGCAAGTTTTAGGGCTCATTTGGTGGAACTTTTGAAAATTCAAAAGTTGTTTTTAAACTTGTTTGGATAATTTATAAAGGTGTCTTGTTGGGTTAGAAAATTTTTAGAAGTTGGCCTTAATATACTCTTTTACAAAAGGCAAAAGCAAAAGTCCAGCAAACAGGCCCTTAATGTCAATCAAGGGTTGGTTGGACCAAAGTCCCCTTTTACCAGCCTCGAGATGCCGGCGTTGCCAAAAATCCTTGCATGAGCAGACATCATCAATTGAAGGATGGATACGGCTTCCATACCTCAAAACCTTTTCCCTTCCAACCAGTCTGGAGAAACTCGTGGCAATAACCACAAATTCTTCTTGGTAATCGGAATTGGGGCACAGCCTCTTGTGCTGATCAATCCAAAAGCAATAGCTAGCATC